GAGGATTCTCCAATGCCATCGACCGGTACTGGAGACCAGTACGGGTCCGCGTCAAGACGTTCAACGTCTCGACGCTCGATGTCGGTTCTGGTGTCTGCCCGGTAGTCATCGACTGTAACGTCTCGGTCCCGGACCGGGACTTGCGCAGCTTTCGTCGCTTGCGCTGTCTTTTCTTGTGAAGCCCGGCTACACTTGTTTCTCGTCCAGGGGGTTTACCTCGAGAACCCTCCCGCCTACGCTTTTCCTGTTGTTTTCTACTGCCTTAGCGACAGCACTGCCATCCCACAAACGCATGTTATACTGCAAAAACATCACCGTTTCGAGCGTCATCGGATTAAGACTTCGACGTAGGCGAGAGTAGACAATTCCAGCTCGCGAAAACAGTCGCTCAACATCATTGGATGTAGGTGGAATCCAACCCAGGTCGAAGGATGTAGCCGTCGCGGCCTCTTTTGCAAGCGCGGCCTCAGCAAACGATCGCTTCTTAGAGGTATTTTGGTGGTCCACCGGATCTCTCACTTGGGACAAACTATCGGAATGCAGCACCTTAGCCAGGGCTGTACGCTCAGTGCGAGTATGGGAACGCTCCTTCCCGACAAAACCTTGGCTATTCCATTTTCGAAGTTGGGGAACTTTACAAGGGGGGAGGTGATAGAGAATTGCGTCCTCGTAACGGGGTAATGCTTGATCACGTGATCAAAAAGAGCACGCACGTCCAGCAAAGATATACTCGATGCTTGCAGCTTCTTGTTTACACTTTCCAGATTCTTGAGGTCCTCGAATAGAGACTTTAGACGGGCATTTTCTCAAGGCGTAGGGATAAAGTCGACTAGGTCGTCATCAACACGGTCTAGCTTCTTGTAGATTTGAAAGTAACGGTCGATAATCGCAAAAGTACTACTCCAACCAGTTGCATTACCGAAAGTCGGCATCAATGCGTCGGCCTCGCGGAGTCGGTGGCGGTTTTGGATCGTGTTCAGCTTCGACATCAGTCTGTGCACCTTTTCAAGCAAGTCAGTGTAGTCGCTCATGAGCGCTTGCATCGCTAGATTCATCCGATGGCTTGTACAGCCTATCACCGACACAGACGTTTTCCTCGCGATGGCTACGTTCACGGAAGCATGATAGCACACGTAGAAGCACATCTGAGTGGCAGCATCTATTCCGTACGTATCGAGCACGTAATCAAACAGGTCAATAGTGGCGTCGGCATTCGTGTCAGATTCATCCGGCAATGTCGAAAAGCACAGCAGGAATTTGTCGGTGGAGGTGATGGCGATAATGGCGACAAAAGGAGTACCATCTTCCGTCCAAGCATCGACTGCAAAGCCCATCTTCTTTCATTCGAGTTGGGTCTTGATAGAAGCCTGTACGACTGTCTCTAGCTCAATCATGTACTTGTTCAGCGTGTTGACACTCAATGGTTTCAGGTTCGTGTACTTCCGCGTCTTAATCTTTTCGCATATGCCCAACTCTCGGTTTTCCATGATAATCCAGTCGAGCCAGTAGTAGACATTGCACGAGAAATCATCGCCTTTAATGTACAAGTCCAGACTCCCTTTGCGTCGCTGAACGGAGCTAAACTCGTCCTCGTACGTGCTGGCATGATAGCGCACGAGATGCTCTACCAGTTCAGTTGGCTTGCTTCCGACGAAGGAAGCAAATGCAGCACTGGTAGTAGTCGCCTCCTTCAGGAACAAAGAGAGCCGTAGCGAGTCACTGTAGTGGAATGGTGGACATTGGAAGTAGTAGACTCGAGCGCAGAAGGTGTTGTCGGTTGCGGGAAGATTGTAAAATGAGTACGCTTAAGCAGTAGAAAGAAATCCTGTTCAACGAGTGGTTCTCGTAGCTAGGACAGCTCAGTTTGCGCCAGCCACCAGTTTCATATATAGCATTTGGCAGAAGTATGTATGTTATTCATTGAAAGAAATTGAGGATAGGAGGTCAGTTAATAATTCCCGTAAGTTACGGAAAGTTATTATTACGGATATTGTTTTTTTTTGAGATGCCCTGCTCCATGGCGAGGATTACTTGTGCAGGGTGATCGACCGTACAAGGACATACATCACGAATGTGCCCGTGTTGATTTACCATATAGTCCACGTATCGTTCGCTGAGCAGGTATACACTTTCCAAAGAAGGAGGCATTTACTGATGTCAGTACAAGTCTTGCTGGTGCACTGAATTCGTATTTCGGTCATAACGTGCTGTCTCCCTCAAACCCGGCAAATGTCGAAGTCACGTTTTAAAAACACAGCCGAGCAGCACATCGAGTCCTCGTGAAAATTCTCAAAGTCGTCTTGAGAGCTCCGTACAGAAAGCTGGCGCCATAGCTTCATTGCTGTCTTCAGACGTGTTCTTCCGTTGTGGAGTTTCTTTATAAAATAAATACTCTGAAGTGGATGGTTTTCGGACTCACTATAAATAAATGCATTTTGTGGTATCTATCGGTATCGTCTATCATTATGTAGAGGGCGTGCTTTGTTTGGTTTATTCCTATCCTGCACAAATTGTATAGTGCTGTCCTATCTAGTATGAACACGCCCCATGTTTGTATATTTGTAAGCAAAATATGTATATTCTGACACCCTCCTCGCTTCGTTGGCGTTATTTTGATTCATGATGAGTGCACCTACTTCGTAGGGGATAGCCGCAGAAGAGGGTAATAATACCGAGAAATTACCATAATCCAGTGCTAGTGTACTGGATTTGAAAACGGGCGAGTTAATTCAGACCAGTGATGGTAAAAAGCAGAGCGACTGGACTGGGTTCGCTCTAATTAAAAACCGGTACACAGTTAAGTACGCACGAGTATCATCCCACATTTTCTTAGCACAAGTTGATAATGGATTCAACGGATACATTGGAGTTTTTCATTAGTGCAGTATCCCATATCAGGTAGCGTAAAAATGTTCAACAATAAAGTGCAGCGAAAAGGAACCTTTAAAAAGTGCAAATAGAATTCACCAAAGCACATGTATTATTTTTTTTGGTTAAAACGATTTTTGACAATGTAATATACTCGAAAAAAAGCAGTTTTGTTTATTTGTTTATTTTTAAAAGACAGCAATGACCACGTTCATTGTTCTCTGGCATGCTCAGTTTTAAAATGGCTCATCAACATCTAATTCCTCGGAAACGGCAGTCACTGCTCCACTCCATAATTCCTCTCCACAGCACGCGAGTAGCAATGCTAGACTTGACGGCAAGGAGGGACGATCTGCTCAAGATGATAGTGATACATTTATCACTACGAATAAGTTTGGCAAGGTGCACTTCGTGGTGGACGCGGCAGATCTTGAAACAGCGCGAGAGCTGCGAATTCTGAAGTCTACAGTCATTGTTCAATGTGATGCCTCATTTCAACAGGGCTACAGGCTAGCATACAACCGCAATACCAACATTGCAGAAGATGATTTCTTCACAGAAACGCGCTCGTACACGCGTCAAGGCTTTCGCTACTAAGTGTGGGTTTCAGATTTTTGTCCAGCAAACTAGCGTGAAGGCCAACGATTCCGGCAATGCGAAATATCGGTGCAAAAAAACTGAATGGTGTGCAGTATTTTGATCAAGATACGCCAGCGGAACAACTGGAATGCCCGTTTTTCGTTATTGTTTACGGGGTAAACGGTGTATGAAGCTCACAAAAGCAAACTTTGCTCCTAATCACGCAAACCATGTTGGTTTTACGGGCATGCCATGCGTGGAGGGCTCGATTCCGCTGCCAACAACAGCTATTCGTAACACTACACAGCACATCTAGGCCATAATTTCACTTGTAGTGCATGATCTTTTGCTTATGCATTCAAGTTCGACGGCAACTCTCGATGGCGGGGTTTTAAGCGACTTTCTTAGATCACGTGGGTATGATTTGTCTAGAAGTGTGATTTCTCGAATGAAACATGACATTGACGACCGACTTCGAGGCGAGTTGTGGAAAACGTTTTTAAAATCTACAGTCATATTTTGAGTTAGGCGCCTTGAAAAACACGGGCTCATCTTGGAGAATTGATCGGAAATCCGACAATGCCACATTTCGACGCGCTTATTTTATCCCCAACGTTGAAGTTTACTTTGTCAAAATGTGTAAACGTCTGATCGGTTTTGACGGGACGCACCTAAAGAGAGAAATGAACAAAAGAGGGGTTTACTGGGTTGCAACCACCAAAGACTTCAATAACCACGTGGCTCCTTTTGCTCTTGCGCTAGTCCGAGTGGAGAATTACGATAACTGGACATGGTTCATGGGTTGTATGAAAGCTGCTACGGGTCTCGAGAAGTTTACTATAATCTCCAATCGTCGAAAAGGACTTTTTTTTTTAGCTGCAGTAGCCACAGTCTTTCCCCTGTCCGGATATCGGTTCTGTCTACGTCACATAATGGACAATATCAACCGGAAGGTGGCCAAGTTAAGCATTGACGATAGACGTATGATCTGCCACTTGGCGCGAAGCGACTGTGAAAGTGATTACAAATTGTTCCATAGTGACCTTGCCTCCTCAAAACCGGTTGCAGCTTATTACCTCGGAGAGATCGAAAAGAAACACTGGGTCAAGTATAAATTTCGTGAGGCTTTCAGATTGACAACACATAACGAAATTACTTAGAACCTATCAGAGCAGGCCATTGGATGGGTACTGAACTTCCCAGCGTGAAGCCTATGGCTGGTTTTTATCTGTACTTCAAGAAATTGAGCGAACTGACATCCGAGAAACGCCAAATGGCGGCAAATTGGCTACGACAACATCATGAATCAAATTTAATACCAGTTCTCCACCGACAAAGCAAAACAAAGCTACAGCTGCAGGAATATGCCGCTTTACACTACTCATGGATGGAGCGTATTCTGTTCAACACCTCTGTGCTCCAAATCAACAAGGTCACCTTCACTTGGAAAGTTGTTGATCTTCCTGCTCGTGAATGCACATGCAGGAATTGGCAAGACGAAGCGTTTCCTTGTATACACGCGATTTGTGCAGCAGTTCAGCTCGAAGACATGTATGATGCTGCGATAACGTGAACTGCACATTTTCGAGATAATACACTTTCTCGTTTCGACCTTGGCCAACAGACATCACATTGACGAAATCCAGTACACTATTAATAGTACTGGATTATGGAAATTCCTCTAATACAGTAAATCCTGTCCTAAATGATCCCTCTTATCTCTGATATCCTGCTATATGATACGAACTGGGTCTACCGACTCGGTTCCCAGTCAAAAGCTAATAACGGATTGATAATCCTATCAAACACTATACTTGATACGATGTTTTCAAAATCTGATACTTAATCAAATATATTATTGGTGTTAAAAAAAAGCATCTAGGGGTCCTCATCAATCAAAAAACTAGTGATAGAAGTCTTGGTCATCGATGTCTCCTTTAGTAATCTTAATCGCTGTTCTCAGCTAGTTGTAGTTGGGTTAGGCCCGGAAAGTCTCGTTTCCACTTGCATATTTTCTTTTTGTGCTCCTGGGTCGGGTTCCCGGCGTGTTTTGCCTTCCTTCCCATCGCAAAACTCTGATTAAACATACCGGAGACGAGCTATTTATGTATCAGGAGCCCATGACTCGAAGTGTTAGTGCCTCGGGTTCTTACCATCCTCCACTATATGATATTATTGTTATATCTGATGGTGACCTTTGCAACGGCGATTATTACAGTTAGGACAGGGTTTACTGTACCCTCTAACTTCGTCTTATCTTCGTCCATCGCCGAGTATCAAAAGTCGGACGAAGATAGCGATTATTTCTGACAAGCCGTATACACTTGGGATAACTATGGAAAATAATCGTAACCCAATTATCTTCGTCCGATGCGTTTTATTGGCTACAACTGAGCTTATTTACGATCTCAAATTTTTGTGGAAAAGTCTTGGAGCTGGTGGCGTGCTGGGGGCTGGAGGCCTGCTGAGACTTTGTGCGCGCTGGGAGCTGG